TACAAGGAAATGTTTTATTTTAATGAAAATATGTTAATAAATGAATGAAAAACTATTTAATTTTACGGCAATACATTTATTTTTCTTAGTTTTACAGGAAATTATAATGAGTAAGGGAAAGAGAAAAAATAATAATAAAGGAAAATAGTTTTATCTTAGAATTATGTAATAATTAATGATAATCACTTTTGTTTTATGTAAGCAATATATAAAATCGAAGTCATTTTTATAGTTAAATCTAATGTTATGCCGATCATTTAAACAGGAAATATGTTAATTGAACAACCTGTTGTTGTTTTTGTTTTGTTTTTTTTGTTGTTGTTAAGATTCATTATTTAGCCTTATTTTTCTTTTCTTTTCTTTTCTTTTTTTAGTTGATCAAAGTAAACACGTTTTAAGTGTAAGAAAGAAAAAGTAGTAGTTTATGTTAAATAAAAATGGAAGATAGCTTTTACATAATTTTCATTTCAAGGTATGTATATTTATATGTGAGTTTTTAATAATGCATTAAGGTGTATAAGTTGGTGTTGATGTTAGTTATTGTTGATAATCGTGTTAGATTATTATTATTATGTACCCAGATGATAGGAAACAGCTGGACGGTTTAGACTTCGCAGATGATCTGGCTATTCTATCGCACACACAACAACAAATGCATGAGAACACGATCAGTGTAGCAGCAGCCTCAGCTGCATTTGGTCTCAATATACACAAAGGGAAAAGCAAGATTCTCCGATAAAACACAACATGCAACAACCAAATCACACTTGACGCAGAAGCTTTGGAAGATATAAAAACATTTACATATCTGAACAGCATCATTGATGAACACGATGGATCTGATGTAGAAGTGAAAGCGCGGATCGGCAAAGCAAGAGCAGCATATCTACAACTGAAGAACATCCGGAACTCAGAACAATTGTCAAACAACATCAAGGTCAGAATTTTCAATACAAATGTCAAGACAGTTCTACTGTTGTTGTTAAGATTCATTATTTAGCCTTATTTTTCTTTTCTTTTCTTTTCTTTTTTTAGTTGATCAAAGTAAACACGTTTTAAGTGTAAGAAAGAAAAAGTAGTAGTTTATGTTAAATAAAAATGGAAGATAGCTTTTACATAATTTTCATTTCAAGGTATGTATATTTATATGTGAGTTTTTAATAATGCATTAAGGTGTATAAGTTGGTGTTGATGTTAGTTATTGTTGATAATCGTGTTAGATTATTATTATTATGTACCCAGATGATAGGAAACAGCTGGACGGTTTAGACTTCGCAGATGATCTGGCTATTCTATCGCACACACAACAACAAATGCATGAGAACACGATCAGTGTAGCAGCAGCCTCAGCTGCATTTGGTCTCAATATACACAAAGGGAAAAGCAAGATTCTCCGATAAAACACAACATGCAACAACCAAATCACACTTGACGCAGAAGCTTTGGAAGATATAAAAACATTTACATATCTGAACAGCATCATTGATGAACACGATGGATCTGATGTAGAAGTGAAAGCGCGGATCGGCAAAGCAAGAGCAGCATATCTACAACTGAAGAACATCCGGAACTCAGAACAATTGTCAAACAACATCAAGGTCAGAATTTTCAATACAAATGTCAAGACAGTTCTACTGTATGGGGGTGGAAACCTGGAGAACTACGAAAGCCATCATCCAGAAGATACAAGTGTTTATGAACAGTTGTCTATGCGAAATACCTCGAATCAACAACAACCTACTGTGGTAGAGAACAAACCAGATCTCGCTGGAAGAAGAAATCAGGAAGAATCGTTGGAAGTGGATAGGACAGACATTGAGGAAAGCACCCAACTGTGTCACTAGCAAACTCTCACATGGAATCCTCAATGTCAAAGCAGGAGAGGAAAACCAAAGAACACATTACGCTGAGATATGAAGACAGACAATGAGAAGAATGAACGAGAATTGGATAGAACTAGAAAAGAAAACCCATTTTAGTGTTGGTTGGAGAATGCTTGTCGGTGGCCTATGCTCCATTGGGAGTAACAGGCGTAAGTAAGTAATACGATAATCAATAACTTTTATTATGATCGATATATTCACTTAGACTTTGAATATTAGGATCAAGAAGCACTTATGATGTTTGATATTACCCACAGTCATGAAATGTATGTCAGAAAGATCTAATATTCTTCGAGTATATATGTTATGGCAACCGTCGTACAAACAATCCAGATTATGGTAAATTTTTTTTATCCCCTTTTTTTATTCACTTACTTAACAGACAATGTTATTAGGACAGTAACAATTCGCATATTTCTTCGTACCGACATGATCGGTAGATCACATGACAGAATCTAGATAAAATGGTGATTGCTTAAATAACACTCGATGGTTCATTTTAATCCCCATGTATATATGTACTAAAGTCTTAATATTAGCTTTTGCTTTGGTTTGCTTTGCTATGCCCTAATGTGATTTGACTATAAATTTGTCTATATAACTACTCGTATATACATATTCACTTCCGCTTCAAATTCAAATGCGTTTGATATGCTTATAATTTTATGTTATTCGTTATTCTCAAATAAATTGTAGTTGCCTCTTCATATTGTCTTCTAATTTCAAATACCGTTGAAATTTATGTTATACGGTTACAAGGGTGCACATATGATATTCAGTGAATCTTATTATATTGATATCCACTTAAACTTTGAATACTAGAAACAAGATACGCTTATACTGTTCGATACTATCTACAGTTATGAAATGAACGTTAAAGGGAACTTATATTCTTCACAAATATATAATATGTAGGCAGGTCATACTAATGAATATTCTGGATTTCAGAAGAATTGATTATTCTAGACAATAGATTTTCATTTCGTAAAAATGTCCATTATAAGCTAGTAGGTTATGTATTATGGTAATCATCTAATCGAAATAAATATTAAACATAAAATAACACTTTAACTAAATATCTGGGAGAGAAATATCTTAAAAATACTACTTAAAAAGTCTTATATAATTGAATTACATTCAGATTATTGAATTCATTTATTTATTTAGTTTTTTAGTTCCTGGTGATTTAATTTTTAAAGAATGTAATTGATTGTATCATACAATAATGTACAACTTGATTTTCCGTTCATATAAGGGAAAAAAATATCCAGAAGTAATACAGTTCAGTTGAAATTACTCTCTAAAACAACATAACTGTAGTGAAGGAGAACACAGGTGAGGACAACCGAGTTACTTGGTAAAATAGAAAAATAATACTATAATACTTAATTTGCAAAACGTTCAATAATTGTCTCGAACTTCATCGTTCTTGCATTTCCACACTAATTGCTTTCTATTTCCGCACTTTCTTTCCTGATCTTCCCCATCTTCTGCTGCCAGACATTATATTTCTGACTCGCGTCATATACTACTTATATCAATATAAGTAGCACGCACCATATAACTAATGAGATATTTCAACTTTAAATTAGCAATAAACAACTGGAAAATTCATAAGTATTTCTGTATATTTCTTGTTATAAGTGAGTCTATTTGTTAGTTGAACAAGATCTTTGTACGTTGATACATTTTTTTCTGAACTAAGTACCAATCAAATCAATTTTTTCACATTTACAATACTTCTATCACAGTAATTTCTTATCTTCATTATCGATATAGTGAAAACAATATGTGAATGTATAATTATTTTCAAAAAATAAGTGGAAAACATAGATATATATTACTAACTTACTTACTTACGCCTGTTACTCCTAATGAAGCATAGGCTGCCAACCAGCATTCTCCAACCCACTCTATCCTGGGCCTTCTTTTCTAGTTCCATACGAAACCATATTTAGAAATAAAGCATTTTGATCCGTTTACGGAATGCTTTCATCATATTCAAACGTAATCAAAGCTGTAAATTAAAATATAAAGAAGAAGGAATTTCAATTAGATAATCCATTGACACATATAAAAACTTGAAATATGTTTCATAACCGATAGAGAGTTAGCTATACAACCATTGAATAATAATTCATAATGATATATGCGACAAATGTGTTAATTTGATGCTAGATATTTACACAACCATTGAAACAAACTAAAAGAAGTAAATTCTGAAAGTGTGACTAGAAGACTGGGTAAGAAAGCGAAATTTGAATTTGTTGAATTAAGTTTTAGATAACGCTTAAAACTAACTATAAGCAGACTGTAAACTTACCTGAAAATAGAAATATTATGGACACCATATCTGGATAGTATGAATATTTTTATATGGAAATTTGAGTGAAACACAGTTTTAAATAGTAAAATGTTATAGTGTCTACCATTGTGAGAATATACTTACTCAAGTCTGTTAGCCTAGTCGAGGAGCATAAGTCGACCACCAGCACTCTCCATCCAACCGTGTACTGGGCAATCCTTTGCGGTTCTTTCCAGTTTTTAGTCATACTTTTCATGTCACTTTTTAATTCCCGACGTAGTGTGTTCCTCGGCCTCCCATGTTTCTGTTTCCCTTCAGGATTCCAAGTTAGCGTTCGCCTCGTGGTGCAGTTATAAGAAATAAGATTCTATGCTTAAATATATAATACAACAATCTACTAAGAATTTGATCTCAAAAATAAAACTTATAAAATACTACGAATTTATCAATTATAAAACTCATAGATCAGACCTTATCTCTGTTGTGTTTAACAGTTTCGTATCTAACGATTTTCATCAGATGTATATAACGTGAGATTTGTATTATGTATCTTTATTTGACAATTGTTTATAGTTATTTCTATTACGATACTGAATGATTAATCCCTAAGTTATTTTTTTTAAATCATACAACTATTGGTTATTATAATCGTTTTTATCCAGTTTTTATTCATTTTTATGTATTTTTGTTCCCCTAGTGTACCATTAAACTACCAATTTAATTTTAACAACCACAATATAATGACATTTAAGTATGAGTAAACACATCAATCATTGATGAAAATTTAATGATTTATATAAATATAAATTACTTTAAACAGATATACCACTATATCGAATAAACATTAATGTAAACATTAAAGCATAATGAAATTAATCAAAGATGATATACAAATAAATATTACAACATGATAAGTAATTAATGCATTTATTTAGGTTATCCAAACATGACCATGACAATGATAATGATGTATGATTACTTAATCCTAAGTAACATGATCAAGATTGGTTTAGATCATTATAACGATATGTTTCCTTGACGTTTGTTGGGTATGTGAAATGTTAAAAGGCAATATTTGAAAGAAAATAATGACACCATTCAGTTATGACAAAAGCAGAATTCTAAAAAAAATAGGTGACTAAATAAGATTGAATTTTCTGCTGTTGTATGGTGTAAATAACTGTGACAAATGAGTAGCTAAAGAAACCAATCATATCAATAAAGGTTTTTTTTGATTAAGTTACATAAGTTACGAGGTAAAATAGATTGTATATTGTTACCCATTTAGCATGTTTACAAAAACAATAACATGGGGATTCATCTTATCAATTATTTTCCAAAACGTGTACAAAGTCTGGTAAAAATCTTTCCACTTCTTAAATAATAAAACTAAAGGATTAACAATATCAATATAAATATCTAAATTTCTGAACAGTTAGAAAACTGAGACTGATTATTATTTACTCACTGTCTATTACTTATACTGAAAAACGAGGAACCACTACAATTCCTATAACGTGAAGAAAAAACACAAAAGACTGGTACAGTCAGCTAAAATATAGCACCAGGCACATTTATGTATTGGTCCAAGTTGCCATACCTCATTAGCACAACATCGAGTTCATAGAAGTAGTCACTTCAATGGTGGTAATATATATAAGAAAGATTGAATAAAAGGATACAGTACAGAAAGAAACAACTAGCTCGTAGGAACAAAGATATGAAGCGATTTTAACCCCATAGTTTAAGGGAAGATAGAGAGTGTATGCACTGATGCCATTGTTATCGATTCTGAATCATGTCACCCAGACTCTCCAACCATTGGTTATGATAGTCACGCGAACCGAAACCAAGTGGTCTGGATCTAACAACATGGTTCAGACCAGAAGTTAGTGACTTCAAGCACTGATGCCACGTTTTGGTTTGACAGCCCCTAACTTTCTTCCAACCATCCCTAACACTAGTCATCATTGCGCGTCGTGGTACAAGTCAATATTTATTCACTCTAAAAAACGACAACAACATTGTCAATAGTACTCTCATTTATACATAGTTCTGCATATCTATTTAACAACCACCATCAATAAGGCACAAGTATTTATAAATAGCTGTCTTCGCAAGATACTCAACATCCATTGGCCGGATACCATCAGCAACAGCCTTTTGTGGGAGAGAACAAATCAGCTTCCAGCTGAAGAACAAATTAGGAAGAGACGATGGAAATGGATAGGACATACATTACGCAAATCGTCGAACTGCATCACGAGACAAGTCCTAACTTGGAATCCTGAAGGGAAGCGGAAAAGAGGAAGGCCAAAGAACATACTGTGTCAAGAATCGGAAGCAGACATGAAAAAGATGAAAAACAACTGGAAGGAGCTGAAAAGGATTGCCCAGGACAGGGTTGGATGGAGAATGCTGGTGAGCAGCCTATGCTCCTTCACGAGGAGTAATAGGCGTAAGTAAGTAAGCTGCATATCTATTTAACTATTAATCATAAGAAAGTAATATTTATGAAAAATACCAAGAATTATAACAAATCGCATGCTGTATATCGTACTGAGCATAATATATATTCATTGTATACAATGAATATCGTATCTTGAATAAGCATCATATTGAAATAAAACATCATTATACTGAATATAGCATTAGCAAAGGCAATAAACACATCTATTGCACTGAGTAATTATCATACTGAATTCAAAAATCGATTGTTTTTTATCCTGTCATACTGTAGTGAACAAACATTCAGGTGGGGAAGACCAATTTATTTTGTGGCACAAAATTAGAGTGCCTTCCTAAATTGCGAAAACAATACATTTAATAATTCATTATACATCTACCATCAGTTGTCCTTTGCATCTTTCTTGATGCCACCAATTCTGTTTTTATTTCATTTCCTTTCTGTTTTCTTCAATTCAGTCCTCTTTTGACAAGCATTCCACTTCTGTTTGGTGTCACATACTACTTAACTCATTCAACGTAAGTAGCATATAACACAATATCACTATTTTATAACTATTGGTTTCGAAAAACATCTATTTCTAAACGTTATAAATACTAGCACTAACCTCCTTGTACCTTAATAAAAATAGTATTGGTTGCTAAGTGAATAAGTATTATTGATATTATAAGTGATATGCTATTATATAGTTTATGCTTATTAAAATACTTCGTTAAACTTCAACAAAAATATGAGACCAATACATTCACGTACAGAGACTTTGAAAAAAATTAACACGCATGGCACTAAGAGACAAATCAATTGCATTCCATTAATATAAATAGGAGGATTCAAACAAACAATATAAAATTATTTAAAACTTGACCCCATTTCACAAACTGGTGACTATTAGGACTAAGTAGCTAAGTGGACAACGTGATGACGTTTGAAGCGAACAGTTATGACTTCGAGTTCCGGAGTGAATATCAATTCTGGGATAGATATACATCCACCTGATGAGTGCAAGTAGGACGAAAGTTGTGTCCTTAATTCCATTGCTATCCACCAACCATCTCTGCTTATAAAATTAACACTGAAAAAATATGTTTATGTCTCTAGTCCCATAGATATACATTGATGTTTAATAATTGTGTAAGTCAAAACAATTGAGAATGAATTCAAGTCACACATATTGTAATATTTCTATCGTTTAAAGAGTTTATTATACTAGTTTGCCTTTAGTAGGATGATGACTACATCTCAATTCATCTGTGATTAATCACCTTAAAAAGATACATGGATTTAGTGTCACAAGGGGATATTAAGTCATCGGTTTACTTTTTTTACAATTTATCAGTCTAATTTAACTGATTCTTTAAATAAATGTCTCTTTTTAAGTAGGTTTACGCCGTATATTGATATTCTTTGTAGAAATGAAAACAGATCATTTATTTACACTAACCTGGAACTTCTTAACAGTGTTTACCTACAACAGTCCAAGTAATCTGATCACGAAACTTTAGTAATCTGAATGGATTGATATATCATAAATCCTGGTCTATAGCTTAGATGTTAGTGTTTCCTTCACTGAAGTATTTAGTTCGATTTTCACACAACTATTCATTTAATCAGCAAATATTTTACACAATATATATTCCAAAAGCAAGTTATAGTGAAATCGGTTTCAATTCAAGTTTATTCCCGTGATTTAATCATTGCGCTATATTATAAAGTGTATTTGACTCATGAGTGACGTTTCAGTCTTCATTGCTTTTGTTTTAATTTCATTCTTTCAATGATAAAAGGATAGCCTACATTGCTAGTAATAGTTTTTTTTATTATTCTTGTTATATTTATAATCTTAGATTCCTAATATACGTCGGATGACTTGAGCACCCGAATTGCTAGAATCCAAGTCGCAAACGAGAAAACAAAAGACTAAAGAAAGTGCTTGTTGGGCAAGAATCAAAATGTACATAAAATCATGGGTATTTATAGATATTAGCGTTTGTTAAATCAACATTATAATTCAACCAATCCTCAAAGAGGCATGTAATGCTACTGACTAATTGTAGCATGCTCCATTGCATTCTGATTTGATGGAACTTTTCAGCTCTTCTAGAGCCTCTGTAGGTTCCATCGTAGTTCTTGGAAGCCATCCAAACAATTCTGTTTAAGAATCACTTTTTCCCATCAATAATATATAATAAATAGTGAATCTAGATTCAAACAAACGAAAACAATTGTCTGTTTATCAAACAGATTAGATTATTTAATATCGTATGATAATTAATTAAACAATATAACTAGAATGACGTAATAAAGAATAAACTGTTCCTCATTATGTATTTTATTTGGTCATTTATTTACAGTGTTTTTGTTCTTTTCATATAGACCTATTGTCAAGATCAATTTTAACATGCATTTCATTTTATTCTTTAGGTACTGTTGATATGTATTTATCGATTCCTCTGTTATCTAGATAAGACTATAGTAACTTTGTTAAGTATTATGAAATCATTGATTGATTGGATCAGTGAAAATATAACCTAAACAAGCAATTATTCTCACAGGGTAAAATGAATATAGCACTGAATGTTGGAAGAAAACGGTTTGTTCATGTTAATGTATTCATAAATGTGATATATTCTATGCACGGTGTTTTATTATATTACTATTGTTATATTTAACATTATCATTACCTAACTTTTATTTCAGGTAGACATTAATAGGAAATTACAGAACAAAATTGATTTGTTCTCATTCAAATCAAAGAATGTCACTAAAAGCTAAGTGTTTTCATTTACTAATATTCTGTCATCGACTCCTTATTTTAAGCAAGTGTTATGATGAGTGATGTATTACGATTAACAAAAGGTTTATTGTATTTTAGAATGTTGCTGAATAAGCTTATTAATTGTAAGGGTTTGTGTAGGTCATTATTTGTTCACTTCGTTCTACGTACATGCAAACCTACAAAAACATGCTATGTTCATTAAAAAAGGATACATGACACTATCATAAATAGAAAACGCAACGTTTATATCTTACTGTGTTGAGGATGTTAGATCCCCAGAACTCACATGGTAAATACCTTACTTTTGTAATTTTATTTCAAAAATTTTAATTAATCGTTTTTACGCCAAAAGCGCTCTTTTCACTTTCATGTCGTATTTCCCACTTGGAAGAATCTTAAACGCTATCGATTTGTTTATCTCTTGGTATGCTATTTTGTAACCCTTCCAAGGACAATTCTATGCTGTATATATACGTTTGATTTGTGCCTATTCTTATTGCTCATACTTCTGACTGCTTGCGGAATATATTTCTCCGTTTCGAAAGTGGACTTCTCTCTCTAATTAGTCGGGCTGGGTCGCATCAGAATTACCAGCTTACTGATCTTTGGTCACTCAGTCTTTGTCCCGTTCTCAGATTAGGTGACCTTGTAATCGCTCCAAATATAGCATACTGTCAGGTAGATACAGTAATTTTAATGGTTTGGTTTCGGACTATCTACGTCTACTGGCTATTATAAGTGAACACCATTTCGTCAGAAGTAACTTTCTTCTTAACTACTGATGTAATCAATCAGACAAATTATGATTTTTTTGGTAAAGTTATCAAATATTAAACTTTGAATACTATTATATTGATTATTAGATTATATAACTGATCAACTATTTATAAAATAATTTGTTACTATCGTTATCTATGACAGAATGACATAAACTGAACTTTTAAAAATGTTTCCAGGACAAATATTATGTCTAATAAACATAAATTATATTAGTTTTATGCTAGAAAACTTATTCACAGATAATACTTAAATGTTACTAAACACATTTTTTTTTAAAAAAAAATAGTAACTAACACGTCAACTGAGACGGATTTTAACATTCAAAAAACCATGTACTTTATCTAAAAAGTAGAATACAGAATACTGTTTCCTGAATAGATCACGTACGCAAATATATGTATATAGATATGTATGCAGAAGAGTTGAATTAAATTGACAGATAAACTGTTTATTAAATTAAAGCAGAGTAAGATTTCTAATAAGAAATACTTTTCCCATCAGTAGATGTACATTTGTTTTTTTTTTTACAAAATTCGGTTATATAAAACATTACCAACTTATAAATAAATGATCTGATAGAATAAACCCATTCATAAATTTTGTTGTGTGTTTAGTACATGTGTCACTGTAGTAAAGCTTTTTATAGTTATTTTAAGTGAATATATCCTGATATATTTAGTTCAGAATGCATGAGTTACTTATCAATGACACGAATAATCCATATTCAAATTTATTTTGTATTATTTGTCTTATGCAAATACATCTAGTTGAAGAGTCCCAAATAGAATGAAACGCGAGTCAAACTGGATTTCATTACTAACCACCATCCATATTTGCTTATAATCTATATTCAACCTTAAATAAGTTTATAAACAAAAATGTGTATTTAAGGGTCAAATGTTTCACAAACATTTTACTATTGTTTAAAAGTTAATCATGATTTGTACCAACCGAAAAGCTTCATAAATGTTAGTTTATTTGATTTAGTAATTAATTATTATTAATCTAAAATTATGGTTGTTTCTTTCACAAAAATTTGTTGTTTAGACAATTATTTCCATACTTTTGTTTAAAGTTCATTTAAAGTTCATTGCAGAGAGTGCTGAAGGTGGTTAGCAAGGTGTGTGGTGAATCTTTCGAGGTCATAATTAATATGGTTGTGGACAGTCATGCAAACTCTTATCAGGTGTTATCTTATCAGATACTAACCATCCCCTTCACTCTTATCTTTCTCCTTGTATATCTTCTGGTAGAACGAGACGCAATTACATTAAAATCCATGCACGTAAGCAAAAGTATAAAACTTTTATAATACCGTACCTAGTTAATATACTCTGTGACGAACAGGTTGTGAGAGTCGACCTAGTCAATAATCTATATTATTAAACGTGTCTCTAGTTTGAAAAGTTGTACAGTTTCAAATCTTTTCTTCACCTTTTTCTTTTCTCTCCTGTTGTTATTGTCTTTTCTGGTAAAAGCAACTTCTTGAAATACATTGTGCTGAGAATTCTATATTGTATCAAAAATATCATATTGAATAAAATTACTAACAATAATAATAATAATTGAAAAATAATATTTTAACACTTTAAAATATCATATGCAATAGTGCCCTTGTTCTGTATTACCTGAGGGTGTTATGCTTCCTATATCATTTTGCAAAACGTCATCATCAATTTGTCTGCATCCAGATTTCTATAATTCGTTATGTGAAGTTCATTTTATAAAGATATTGGTGTTAATATTGATAGATTTTGTTTTGTTAAGCTTTGAATAATGTTACCTTATATACAAACGCATGTATATTCGTTTGTTGCTTTTTATACCAAAAGTATTGTTGTATAAATAATAATTAATCAACAGGCTGTCCATTTAGGAAATATTAAAGATTCCCGGCTGATGCATTGGATCACTGTAATACATGTACTACCTAAACAATTACTGAACTTGTATACTTAAAACTTTCTTCTATCACATGTTTGTTCTGTACATCTAATGTTCCTCTTTATATCAAATTGATCATGCCTGTAAACTGGCGTGAATTCTGTGATTATTATTTTCAGAATATAAATTATTATTATTCTAAAAACTGAACCACTGAAGTTATATATGACTATTATTTATTGACGTATTTACATAACCCACCGTTTTACTTTCAATTCACCTATTACATATGGGAATCTAATGTTTGTTTCTTAGTTACTAATCAAGTAATTAAAACTTATTTGAACAATCCAAAATACTGCTATATTTTATGGTTAAACATCCGATATAATTTCTTACATTGATTAACCCCTAACTGAGCATCATTGTTCGTGCGACAAAGTTTACAAGTTGACAACAATTTATCCAGTTTATCGTTAATGTCATCACATTTAAACTGTACATACACTCAAATATCAGTTTATGGTAAAAATATACAAATAAACAAAAACCTTGATTTTCAGGTAAATATTTCGTCTATTCAATTCAGAATTTATTCACAATAATGAGAAGATGGCAAAGAAAAGTTAAGCAAGTATATAGATTTTGTGATTTGATTACGCTCACCAACTTCAACCACTTATATAAAAATAGCAAAAAAATTATCACAGCAGTGATTTTTTGATATTTTTAGTCTACAAAATGATACATAACTAGTTTTTGTGGATAACATGATGGAGTTTGAATCGAACGGTACTGTGTTCGAGTACCAGAGTGAACATCAACTCTGAAAAGCAGATACATTCGGCTGACGTGTCCCAAATATGACGAAACGCGCGTTAAACTGGATGCCTTTGTTAGCCACTGTCCATCTTTGCTCACAATACTTGTGACTGAAGATAATAACGAGGCAATAAGCACAGTATGCACATATGCTAATAAGCGATTGATTATTTGCAGTCCTAAACATCAACGAGAAGATTTAAGTAAGCAATACTAAATGAATTTCTAGCTTAAAATAGTTATACAACTTTTAACAAACATCAGAAATGGTATATCTGAAATTTACTCATGTTACAAATTCGTAGATAAAATTCATCATATGTTGAAATTATTCCGAGTTCTATTGTTAAACCAGAGAATATTAAGCAGCTGTTTCGTAATTGAAATTTCAAACTGTTTAACAGCACAAACTTCTAATCATGCCAACCACTAACTCAAAGACTTTCATATAACGAAATAACGAAATAGTATGCTACATTCACTAGGTGTAGTTTTACTTGTATCTTCCGATTGTTATTCAGGACTGCGATTGATCAGTCTCATGTTATCATATGTGTATCCTGTGCTGATTGCCTCGATATAGCCTTAAGTCACAAGCTTGTTTCGAGTACCAGGGTGAACATCAGCTCTGGGATGCAGGTACATCCAGCTGACGAGTCCTAAATAGTACAAAACGCGCGTCTTGGATTCCACTACTAGCCACTATCCATCTTTGCTTAAAAATATAATCTGCTAGTTTACATTTTTAAATTTATATCTATGATAACAATAAACGAAAGATTACCAGTATACACTATGACATAATTCAATTTCCAAAAAAATTCTTTCTGCAGTATGTGATATATTCATCAATCATTTCTTTTATTTACACTTCATATTTATTGATTTTTAGCCACCAAGTAAAAAGAAATCAAATAAACAAACTCACAGAAAATCTTAAAATTACAAAACGTAAAAATCCAATTTTTTTTCACGCTTCCAATGAACTTCTTCAATTCATTTTATTATTATTGTCAACATATCTACCTGTTTACTTACAATGATTCTGTATCCTTTCAATAGAATCAATGGATATAATAAATAAACAAAAAGAAAAGAACAGAATAAAAGATGCAACATTTTAATTAATAAAATCTATTCGACTGTATACATTTACTGATGAAAATAATCTGTAAATATAAAAAACAAGATGATAATGTTTACGTTAGTTTATGGAAATATAGAACCCACCTCCTCCCCCCCCCCAAAAAAAAACATCAAAACAATTATCTAGTCACTAGTTAGCAATGGATGTTTATTTGTTTTGATTAATAAATAAATAAATAAACAAATAAAAAAAGACGAATTTAATAGAATTTGACATTCGGTTTTTTGTCCTTATACTGGAAAGCTGAGCATTTTGTTTTCAAAAAAAAAGTAATAGTTAAAACCAAATTCAATCAAAAATTAAATACCCAAGAGGATTATTGTTATAATTTTCCTTATTACGACCCAGCTATTCCTATTGCTTAGTATTCTTGGACACTAATTCACTCTAAAATTCCCCAAATCAGAATAGGAAAGAAATTATATTTTTAATAACAAGGGTAGATGAAAGTAAGAAGCACAATAACAAAAAAACGTTAATATATTTATAGTTTTTACATCAGAAAATTGTAGAGTCTTTTCAAGTATCGGCTATTGCTTATCCAATTAGCAGGCACTAATGCAATCGTGCACAGAACATGCTTTAATTCAATCTACGTCCCGCTAACAATTACTTCCAACAAATATAAAAATTTTGAAGACACCAATCATTTTATTGTAAATTAAATTTATTATTCACAAATTGTTTTAATAAGTAATAATTTATTGAAAAATGAAACATTATTACATGAGGTTCATTGTTGAGTTGATTTTTTAAATGGATATTTAATCATATTATATTATTTATTTGAACACATAAATATTGGTACAAGGAGGTCCCAAAGATATATGCACCACACAAGTCACTTGATTTGTGTGTGTGCTGTGATACTGTCCGAGTGCCCAAAGAGAAGCAAGTGGTTTCTTTAGAAGGTCACTCCCAGAACCTTTGATCTAAAGGTCTAATCCAAAAAGCCAGTGGAACTTTAGGAAGTGCGGTCTCATGGTGGCTGGTGACCAATAATTGGTTCACACGCTGTTTGTTCACTCAGGATCATGGAGCCTATGTGCACCATTGGTTTGGAATCAGGGTTTTCCAACTCCCCTAAGTAGATTCCCCATATCCACCAACCTGGTTAAAGCCCCGGACACTCTAGTTTTGTCCACTCAATTCCGTAAACAACACTCCAGGCGCTAGAATACGGTAAGTAGGACTTTCCTGGCAGTGGTTGTATACGCGTGACCATGTGAGAGCATTTTGAGAGTATGGACTCTCTAACCCTCATCCATACCAGAGCATTTGGGGATAGGTAATATGCTTCGTGAAAAGTTATTTTGTAGGCGATTTACTTCATTGAAGATCTTTGTTAGAATGTTTTTTCCCTTTCTTTTTTGAACATTAGAATAAAGTTTTGAAATATGTATTACTGAAAATTAATTATTAATATATTTATTCATAATTCTTAATTGACGTCAATTAGTTTACATGAATCTATATTCAGTCTGATAGACAAACTACTTTAATTATAAGAGAAAAGTAACTTTTTAAATGGCAAGTATGCTCTTATTTTAAAAAGATAACTCAAGAAAATCAAAATCTTTGTTTACAATAAATGTTGTACCAGAAAAAAAGATCAACATAAAACGCCTTGTACTTTAGAAATAATGAATAATTCATTAATCAACCAAAGTATTCAGTTTTATGTTTATCATATGAATGTGAAGATCTAAATATATGCTTCATACTCTTGACATTAAACCATTAAGTTGCATATTCAACTGTAAAATTTTCTATTTTCCGTATGAAGATTCGTATGTATTACTAGTTTCTACTAAAAATAACTCATTCGCGAGTACAAAAACCCATTTATGATTAAAAACATAGTATCAATTCTTAGTATGAAACCAGTGCCTAGAAAATATCTAGCTACGCTTAATGGAATATTGGCTAATATAATCATAATCCAACTTTTGGAAAGTTGCCGGATAATTTTAAATTAGATCATTACAATTATTTCATTCATTCTTTGTCTATAAAAAACAATAAATTTCATCCATAGTACAACAAAAATAATCCCTGAACAGTACGTCAAATTTCACTGAGATAATACTGAATTGAATTACAAGAGACATATTCTTGGTAGGCAAAAGTAGAAATGTACCTAAGAAAGAGAACTTTTCATGAAAATAATTAAGATTTCTTACTTCCAGCACAATACAATAAGCCTATATGGGAAAAATAATTGATTAGATACCAGTTCCCTACAACTTATGGGTATTTGTGGAGATTATAGTAAAGTTAACAGTCAAATTCATGATTTGGTCATAGTTGATTTTAGTGGTCTAGAGGCTAAGCGTTTGAGTGCAATAGCGAAGTTTATGGGTCCGAATCCGGTGGATACGTTTTCTTGACGAGTCCCGTACTAGGACGGAACAACTGATCAGTGAATCCGTTTTGTTTCTTATTGATTAAAAAATACCGCTATATGTTAACAATGCGATTAAACCTATGTTATACGTAAGTTATATACAGAACGGTCTTTCTAATATAGATATTATGATACGGAATACTGATTATATTTATCCATTCAGAAAAAAGGTGAAAAATACACAATTAGCCCCTGATAATAGTTCTTAGTTTACTGATATCATTATCGATTTTATTTAAAATGGTCAATTTCTATGTGTTTAAAAATGTTATAATCATCAGAAGTAACTTACGTATATTTCAAACTGTTAGACATTTAGTGTATTTACATTTTACTTCAAACATATATGGTAGTCATTTGATGATAATGTAAATGCTTGAATTTTCTTAGTAAATTTACTTCAGTAACTAAATTACCAAACACTTGCTGTAATACGATAAAATATCTTTTAATACTGACAATATGAAAACAAGTTCTAAACATCTATTGTTAATTATCAGTAAACGATTGTGGAGATTGTTGAGTTTTAGTTGAGATCATGAACTGATCAATGTTAGGTCACGGTTGAAAACATGAAAGCATTGAACGACCGTTTCGTCCTGGTATGAGGCTCCTCAGCAATTTATCGTTAATTTTATATAAGTATTGATTCGATATAAAAATATCTATTGCTAGTTCATTCAGTCACCGATTTCATCACAATGAATGTTGTTGAATGAATTTGTCTTTTAATAGTATACAAAATAAATTGAGTATAATGTTTGCTGCCTTACTACCTAATATATTATGAATTAAATGGCTAATTGACTAGTCAACTGAAAAATCATTTCCATGATAACAGAAATCAAACGCCATGAGATTATGTAACATAAACACTTACGTAATCAAACAGATAAATGATAAGGCACAAGACGTAAACAAAGCTAGAACCGTCGTAAACATACATTTGCCATCTGAAATATTCAGTGTTCAAAATAAACATGAATAATTAGTAAGCATAAGAGAAGATTGGTCACCATCAAGCCGTATTACAATATTAAAAATTCAGGGGGTTTTGATTTAAAAATTAATACATGACAATTATTTAAGGGAATCCATATATTCTGTATGATCTATTTTTTGATTATTACAAACAATTAAAATATGTATTTGTTATTGTAATTCCAGCGCACCGATTTACTTATTCCCTTTATTTTATCAAAAATACTGGATGTATTTAAAAAAAAGTATAAATTCAAGTTCGTTTGGTATCGATTGTTTGAATCTTTACATTGATGTTCAGGATTGATCAGTCTCATGTTGGCATATGTGCATCCCGTGTGGATTGACTCGATATTACCTACAGCCACAAGCATTCTAAGCAAAAATGCATAGCGGCTACTAGTAGAATCCACGGTGTGTGTTTCGTTCTATTTGGGACGCGATAGCATTTAAAGTGAATAGTAGTGGGTTCAAGTCTCAGAGTGAACATCAATTTTGATACGCAAGTACATCCAGCTGACGAGTTTCAAATAGGACGAAACGCTTGTCCAGCTGAATTCCGCTGCTAGCTACCATCGATCTTTGCGTTTATATTTATGCCTCGCATGCTACATAAACAAAGATAGAGTATTTAACTTTCTCACAAACGGAATACAACAAATTATGGGGTTTGTAGCCTCATTATCTTAAATACTAGTCTATTAATATTCTGGTAGTATCTTTACGTAAACCGACGATCTTGGAGTTCATTTACTAATAGATGAATATACATATTTACTATGATTCTTTAATGTACATGGTTATTGTATTTAAAATTGTCAATTTCAAATTTCAGTCTGAAAAATATTGTCTCTAGAAGTGCATCAAATCTTAGGTTATAATGTCATCAATAACTTGATAATGAAACAGTTTAAAGTGTATTCGTGAATGCATGATAAATTCAAATAATTGAGTAAAAATCAAAATGATCATATTTCATAGCAATTTGAACCATATTTCAATATTGAAAATTCCCACCTAAAAATTTAATAAAAAGGACTAACAAAGTGAAAAAAATATCTTTTTACTTAGTTTTTCACCATAGCTTAACATTAATGGTTTGAATTATTTTTCTAGTTAGCGTTTTTTTTAGCTAGTTAGTTTTCTACGGGATGTCGACGCTAACCCATGTCCAGCCCTCCTCCTTTACCTAAGCTTGAGACCAACATTAACTCCAGAAGAGCTAAAAGCGGAAAATGGAAATGGATTGCACATACATTACAAAAATCACCAAACTGCATCATGAGACAAGTCCTACCTTGGAATCTTGAAGGGAAGCGGAAAAGAGGAAGGCCAAAGAACACATTATGTTGGGAAATAGAAGTGGATATAAAAAAGATGAATGACAACTGGAAAGAGTTGGAAAGGATTTCCCATGACAGGATTGAATGGAGAATGCTGGTGGGCGGCCTATCCTCCTCCACGAGGAGTAACAGGCGTATGCAAGTAAGTAACACTAATGCATATATATATATATATATAATTTTTATTAAAAGTAACTAGACGAAACAGCCATCGGGCGCTTCCAGGTTTTTCATGGTGGTCTATCTTTAATTGACTTATAAACTCAACTTTTAAATAACTATGTTATATTTAATCTTATATAAACATGATAAGTTAACTATCTCAAAGACTTGATTAGTTGTTCAAACTAGTGAATCGGTTCAAAAAACATCTGAAAGATTGTTCTGTCTTATCCTACCTTTGATACATGGTCGCTTTATTGATGATAATCGTTTTTGTTTAAATGTACATTGGTTTATGTAGAACTTAATATATGTATGTTACAGTAAACATCGAATCCATTGTTCAATGATGTACTTTATTCTCTAAGTTCTAAAAATAACTATATATGGAATTAATTTACAAATTAACACCAATTTTCTTTGCATTTACTTTATTTTCAATTCTTACCTGATACAAAAAATAAAACAAAGATTTTTTTATTTTGTAATTTTTGATATACCGCTTAAAGTTTATATACTACTAAAAATGAATATGGAAAAATTAAATAAATTATTTATACTACTTATTTATTAAATAAAATTCAAAAGAATTTTTTTGTCTGTTTGTTTCGGTTAATAAATGGCTAACATAACTATCAAATTAACTTTCATTATTATTGTTATTATTATTAATTACAAAAGTCTATTAAAAATTATATTGATTTTCTATATCCTACTTCTCTGTGACATCATAAATAAGTTATGAGAAACAAGGATCATTTTGAAGAAGAGAAATAGTTATCGGATTAAAAGTAGTAATTAAGCTCTATACGTATACATATGATTGTAGTTACTGGAAGTAGATATTTAAAAAAACAGTAAAAAAAACCGGTAGCAATATTAGACCTTGATTTTTTCCTTTAAAGCTATAAAAAAGAACGATTATATACAATAAAAAAAACATTAATACTTTCGGGTATACTTAATACATTAGTCTTGATTAACAAACGATATACTAGTGAATAAGTTAATATTTTATCTAAGAAAATTGTGTTCGGAACTTTATATTCATTACTTGAGAACAGAATGTCTGTTTTTGTGATCAAAGACTAATTTTTTTATATACAGAAGAAAAAAAAGGAAAACTAAACATCAATATATGTACTTTTTCAACCTTCCATTACAGTAGTTATTTGGTTAAATGTTTCTAACGAAATTATTCTTAAATATACTCATAGTATTGGTCCATAAATGGATCCCAAAAGTTACCATTCATTATTCTTATCGGTATATAACATTGTTGAAAATCAATATATTATGATTTAATTGTTAAGTGTAAATCAGAATGAAATTTCTTCTCATTTATGGATACACACAATATGTTATCTTAACACATTATGTTTCACATCACGTGTCTCTTACATACTAATGTAAATATCTACTTTAAACATTGTTAACGGTAATTGAATGACCAATTCAGTATACAATGAACCGGAGAATCATGTATCTATTTGTATTCGATAATTTGAATGTTTGATTATATTTCCTTGAAAAATCTTGGACTAGATTGTCAAGTGAAACGTTGAATTTACTACGAATTCATTCGCTGAGATTTTACAAATACATTCTTCCACTTTAATGTCTCATATCACCTCGGAGTCTAAATACTATGAAACTATTTAATCAAATTTAGACGAAAGTTCTTATTCACAGATTAATTATTGTTTAGATTAAAAGACAACTTGATGTACAACAGTAACGACAACATGAACCAGTTTTATTCGAAATGAAATAAACAAGCTTATTCAAATGGATTCAATAGTTATACTGACGAAAGTTTGTTCATTATTTCAATATCATGATAAACATTTAAATAGTGAAATAATTCATATAAAACATTTTCGAAACTTACTGACTATTATTTAAGTCACAATTAGAAATGTGATCTTGATATACTGGAAAATATGATATACTAAGAGATGTGTATATTCCTAATTAATGTTGAATGATTATAAGGCTCTTGTTTATCTTTCCTATTATTCATAGAAAAAAGGACTTAATTATTATAAAGTGAATAGTGGTGAAATCCTGCTCTACACTTAATTCTAATAGAATTTACTGATATGAAAATTGGGCGAAACTACATTTTATGAACGAACCAAACAGGTAAAATATAACAGGTCATGGATTTTGGCGTGAAATTCACTCATCCATTCGGTTAAATAGAGTTTTCGCATTAACGGTGATGTCAGTTCGTAATGAAGACCCGAAACCTAATTACTATCCTTAATCATCAACTGTAAATTATAATTCTGATTCCTCACACAGATTCACAACTCTCATTTGGTGATGGTTATTAAGTGAACACTCTCAAGGTCACCCTGGCGTCGCTCAAAGGTCGTGTATAACTTATAGTCTTACCGAAAAGTGAGAAAATTGTTAAGTACATTTTAAGCTGATTTTTGTTTTCATTAGCGTAAATAGTTTTCATTTCAGATACTTGAATAAATAAAATAGATTTAACTGTTATTTAAATCTAATTTGATTAAATATTTTAGTTAAAATAAAATATTTTACTAATCCAAAGCAAGAGCAGCATATCTACAATTGAAGAACATCTGGAACTCAAAACAACTGTCTGTTAGCCAACACCAAAGTCAGAGTTTTTAATACAAATGTCAAGACAGTTCTACTGAACGGGGCGGAAACTTGGAGAACTACGAAAGCCATCATCCAGAAGATATGTGTTTGTTAACAGCTGTCTACGCAAAAATACTTCTGATCCGTTAGTCAGCCATTATCAGCAACAATCTACTGTGCGTTTCATTCTATTCGGGACTCGTCAGCTGGATGTACCTGCGTCTCAGACTTGATGTTCACTCTAGGACTCGAACCCGATACCGTTCGCCACAAACGCCACCGCGTTATCCAATTACCTACTGAGTCCTGAAGGCCACTTTCATCCTGGATTCCACTGCTAGTCATTATCTATTTTCGCTTAAAGTGCTTGTGAATTAAGGCAATATCAATGCAATACTCACAGTGTGCCCATATGCCAATAAGAGACTGATCAATTGCAGTCCTAAACATCAATGGAAAGATTCAAGTAAACAATACACAGTGAATTTATGGATAGGTTTTTCACACCTTTATTAGTCTTTAATTAATTCACTTGCATATATGTGCATAAGTTTAACAGTGTCTTCTTTTTGGTTTATCTAATCAAGTAATCTGTTGATAAACCATCTTCTTTCAGAATTGATATTTTTTCTGATTTCATTATTTCAATACGCTTCAGTGAAAGAATAAACAAAATGATTATCAAAAATATTCGATTCATTAAACCATTAATTTTGTAAACAATAACAATATAGCACCAAATGTATATGATGGTAAGTGTATGCTGAAATACACTTAAAAGCATCTGTAATATGATAAAACAAATTATGAAGCCTGAGAACAAAAGATGAACATTAT